TTTGCACTCTTTGTATATGTGTTCAGTATGTTTACTTGTTTTTGTTTCTTGTTGTTATTGCATTATTTTGTTGAATTTTTCGTCGTGCTTACTTCTGAAGTTGTTTTCAGTCTTCTACATCCGTGAATGAATCGATCGATTTTTAATACAGCAGATGGGTCGTATACTCCGGAGAGGCTAGGCTAGTGCTGAGAATGACATGCACACGGAGATGATTAGTTGTGGTCCCACACCCCGGGGAGGGAGAATATCATTCTATTAAGTGGCGATTGTATGCAAATTGTCAAGAGGATACCTTTAATTCGAAGGTGTAAGTCTTCATTGATGTGTGAGATTGTCCTGTGGGTATGCTTGCGGTGTGTTGGCTTTTCTGTTTGTTTTCCATTTCAGCTCTGTCCGTGTGACCTGGGTTCTTGCAATGGCATCCAAGTCAACGTGTATTGGTCCTAATGGAAAAAAGGGATGGATCCATATTTTGGCGGGGAGTGTCAGTGTAGTTGAAGATTGAACGATGGATGGAATTCATCCAGAATTATTGATTTACCGTGAACCCGTGCACCAGTTGGTCCCAACTAGAAATGACGTTTGTCAATGTAGTTGAAGATTGAACGATCAATTCATGGTTGTTTGCTCAAACCTAACTTCCCTATATTTTCGCGGAGGCATCAATACACCAGTCATCGTCTCATCGGTCGCTGTTCAGAAAGAAGATCAAATACCGTCAGAAGTAATATTGTGATTTATTATTCTAATATTTGTTCATAGACCTTGGCTATTACGATGGTTATATGTTTGTGTTAGAATAAATAATTCTCGAGTCGCCAATTGGTGTTTTGGTTTTTGCGTCCGTTAGTACTAAGTGTTTCTGAAAGGCTTCGAGGGACAGCGAGAGGCCCGGCGTTGCAAGAGCTGGGCATTAACGTTTTTGATCCGTGATTGATAACGTTCATGTTTTCTGTTGAGCCACATCTGAGATTCGGTAACATAGACGGGCCCGCCAAAACATGGTTACCTGGCTGCACTTAATCCCACTCGAAGTAGTGAAGATGGAGTCTTATAAGCGCGCCTTTTCTGGCATGTATTTAGTTTGAGATAGTATCAAGAGACGGCAGTCAAGGGTCTCTTTTTCTCAGTAGGCTTTTGAAATTCCCTGTTATAAACACGACTGAATCACAACCCCACTTTTCCTCTGAATTTTCAGTAGACTTCAAAGTGAACCATACTGGGAAATTTTTCGCTGATACGTCTCTCTTGCTTGCATTTCATTTTTAAATTTTCTTATCCCCTTGTCAAACCATTAGCTACACAATAAATACTAGGTTTCAATACATTGTAGCTGCAAGACCTTCCACAGAATATTTGACGGTATCCACACAGCAACTGAGACTCGCCACTTTGGTATGCTGCCACTATTCACTCAACCTGATCAGTGGCAGTTACATATTTGTATGCACATACATATGTACGTTTAGAACAAAGTCTCATATGCATCCTATACGAAGAAAATATCCTGCAAGGGAACAAAGGAGTCCATCAAATCGATCAAGAACTTCAACCATCAACTTGTTTATCTGTGTGGATTATTAGATTTTCACGTGACAAGAACTTAATGATGTCATTATGGTGTGAGTGTTCATCTCTGTACCCTACTCAAATCATCGTTAATAAATACGCCCCTCAGCAGCTTCAAGGGTCGTATTCTCCATTTCAAAGGTTGTATGATTTTAACAACAGTCTGGCCACCAGATTGGGTGGTCCAGTCTATGAGATCAGCACGTAAAATGGCGAGAGCTGAGGTATGGCAGAATAATTAGTCACATATCGATCGTAAGCATTGATTTTAGTCAAGATCAACTGGAGGTTGTTGATTTCCTAGGGTCCTTGTTTGACCAAACGAAAACAGTTTCTTACAGTTGAATTCACATGTAATGAACTGCAGCATGATGCTCGCTACCAATGCCTACCAATAATGCTGCACGTTCCCTCAATTTCACTCTAATAACCGATGATAAATCTAATCAGTTCTATACACAAACTCGTGCTTGTTTTATCATTCTAGTTAATTGTTTGGGATATATCCCTTTTTCTTACACTAAATGCATTAGTGTACACAGATGAGAGAGAGGTTGTTACTTCCATCCTTGGCAATTTAACTCACATCATATCGATTTCACCAGATGGACACACCGAAAACCAGAGAGACTTCATTTTAGTCTCGAAGAAGTAGAGACGAAGCCTACTGGACACAAGGTCGAGGACAGAAGCAGATGTGGGTTCAGACCACTATCTAGTAGAAGATACTTTCAAGGTGAAGCTAAAAGCCTCAAGGAAAGCCTGAGATAGGCCACAATGCAAGTTCAACACTCAATTACTGAAGGATACAACCACAAAAGACACCTTCACTGCAACTGTCAGAGCAAAGCAGGAAACACTACGCGACATCACTGAAGAATCATGCGTGGAAGACCATTGGAAGTCTCTGAAGGCTATGCTCAACGAAACGTGTTCAACGGTTCTAGGAAGGAAGAAGAGACAAGACAAGGAATGGCTCTCAATGGACACTTGGAAATTAATAGAAGAGAGGAGAATGGTGAAAGAGAAAATAATTCAATGCAAGAACGTACAGGAGAAGGAGACTCTGAGCTCAACTTACACAGCTGTGCACTGGACAAAGAAGTGAAGAAGAGTGCTAGGAAGGACAAAAGACGATTCTATGTCAATATGGCCAATGAAGCTGAGAAGGCAGCAGGCAAAAGGGACCTGAGGACACTATATCAGATAACCAAATCTCCATCCGGGAAGAGATCAACACAAGCGAAACCTATAAAAGACAGCCAAGGGAACCCAATTACCAAGGAAGAAAGAGAGATTAAACAATGAGCGGATCACTTCAAAGGACTCTTGAACCGACCATCACCTGCAACCCGTCCAGAAATACCAACAACAACGCGCACACAACTGCAAGTTGACACCAATCCTCCAACGAGAGCTGAAGTCTTGAACACAATCAAGCTTCTGAAAGCTTGAAAAGCAGCTGGACCAGATGGAATACCCCCTGAAGCACTGAAAGCGGACCCAGAGACTACAGCAGACATGCTGACTCCATTATTGCAAAAGGTCTGGAGGGAGAGAAAGTGGCCTACTGACTGGAGGAAAGGTTACCTCGTGAAACTACCAAAGAAGAGTGACTTACGCCTCACTCTGCAAGAACTGGCGAGGAATCATGCTCCTATCGACGCCAAATAAAATCCTGAGTCGCATCATCCTGGAGAGATTAAAAGACGCACTGGAGACAGAACTCCGACCAGAACAAGCTGGATTCAGGAAAGTCAGGCAAATCATGTACTGACCAAATTGCAACTCTACGCATCATCATCACCGGACAAAGCATGGAATGGCAATCAAACCTCTACCTCAACTTTATAGACTTTGAGAAGGCCTTCGACAGCGTTGATCGTGAAGTAATTTGGAAACTACTCGAGTACTACGGCGTACCCCAAATATTCATCAACCTTATTCAACAGCTGTACGACAACGATACATGCCAAGTGATCCACAACGGAAAGCTCAGCGAGGCGTTTGGAGTAAATACAGGAGTCAGACAAGGGTGCTGGCTTATTATCAACAATGATATTCCTTATTGTGGTGGACTGACTGGATTATGCGTCAGACAGTTGGAAATTAGAAAACAGGGATATCCTGGACCGACACGAAGAACCTAGAAGACCTGGGTTTCGCGGGTAATTTATGTTTGATGTCACTTCACAAAATCAAAGACTTACAAGCGAAAACCGACAAACTGGTCGAAGAAGCAGCCGGTGAAGACAGGACTCCAAGTGAACATAGACAAGACGGAGGTTATGAAAATAACCAACCAACAACAACATCCAGCGTCAATCACCATCACCGGGAGGGATTTGAAAGAGGTTACTTCATTCACTTATCTAGGGAGCATTGTCTCAACTACAGGCAGAGGAACGGACGAGGATGTAAAATCGAGCGAGAATCGGGAAGGCAGACGAGAAACACATTCATCAACCTGAAACAACCAATCTGGAAATCTTCGTCAATCAGCATCACCAACAAAATTCGGATTTTCAATACAAACGTAAAGTCAGTTCTTCTATTCGGATCAGAAACTTGGCGGGTCGCAAAGAATATTTCCAAAAGGTTGCAGACCTTTATTAACAACTGTATTCCCTGATTCTTCACTGAAGATGAGATGGCCGGGCTGGAAAGAATCACCAACAAGGAATTATGGGAACAAACAAAGCAAGAACCAATCGCCAACCAACAAATATGCAGGAGAAAGTGGAGATGGATCGGTCACTCGCTGAGGAGACCACTGGGTGACATCGCGCGTCAAGCCCTCGAGTGGGAATCAGCGTGTGGGACATCCAAGGGTGACATGGAGGAGATCGTGTGAAGAGGAGTTGAAAGAGTATGGACTAACATTGATGCAGGTGAAAAGTACAGCAGAAGAAAGACAGAAGGAATTGGAGACGTGCAGTTGAGGCCTTATGTTCCACTAGGAAGCCAAGGGAACAATAATATAATAATAATCGATAAAAATCTTTTGGACACAGGATGTGAGTTTATCCGTAACAAGAAACTGTATATTGTAGGAACCGTGACCTGTTAGGCAGTCGGCATTGTGTTTCAATTCCCTGTCACGCCCCAAAATCATAGACCCTACAGTGGGAATATCGGACGCTTCTCGAGATGGGTGTCATATGAAATTCACACATAGAAGTTCAGTGAAATTGCCAAACATAATAACATTTTGTTTACTGTAATACCAAACTTTGTGAATAACAATTCAGAAGAAAAAGGGAATCATTGTTATTTAATAAGCGAATGTTAATAAATGTCGAGTTATAGAGGCAAAATTTCACACGAGGATATTTGTGCTGACGAAAGTGGAAATCACAAATTCCACTGGAAGGAAAATTGTTTGTGCATATTTTATTTGCAATCCGTCACACAATTGATTGATTGTCTTACGAACCGAAAAGCCTATTCCAGATATTTCGAAATATGTTTGATGATGATGATGATGAAGAGGATGAAGTATCTCCTGAATGAGCAGCTTCAGGTTCTTCTGTAGGTGGCGCAGCGATGTTATATTCTGGTACAGTGAATGAATCTCCACAAAGTTTCTGTTGATCAATCTGTTCGCTATATTGACTTTCAGAGTGTCCAACTATGCTTTGTACATATGTTTGTAGATCCATTGCGTATTCTGCAGGACAGTCGACGAGTGTTGAATGCTCATTGAAACAGAAGACTATTTCGTGGAGGAAAGTTCTATTATACTAAGACAAAAAGAGAAAGAGAACAAAAGAAGAATTAAAGTCTCCTAATAAAATGGTTCCATGTAAAAGGTCAGTTAGTTTATACATGGGGCAGTTGTGATGTGAAATTCTCCTGACAAACAAGAGCAAACATCATCTCCTTCATTCACAGTCTGTTCTCGTTTTCAGGATATTGAAATACGATGGTGAAATAATGATATCACATACTCTAGATCTATTGTAGATGGCAACAAATGGACTGGACAGGCGGAACACATTCTTCCACAACTTTTCTCTCCTCACTAACTCCTTAGTGAAGTCCGGTTTCACAACTGCAATGTTTAAGCAGCAAACACGGAGTCTTTCAGAGAACCAGACCTAATGAGTAACGAATATACAGTAGTGAAAGTGATGATGGTTTGGGCATCACACACTGTGACAAAATTAATAATAATCTCAACGCATGAGAGGGTTTTGAAATTCAACTGAATTGTGTTTCTAGAACCATCTGTGATCCCACAGTGTTGAAAATCATTGTTCATTTGCCAAGTGGCACACCAGGGCTGATTCGGAAATTATCGCCGAATTGTGTTACATGCCCTTTTAGATTGTCTACTCCAGTCATCATTTTATGACTCAGTTCATCTCTTAGAATTAGACAGTTCACAACAAATTCTAGTGCATAACATAATCAGTGTAAGAATTATCTTTCCTCACAACACAGACATAACCCATTTGTTGCCTTTGCAATAACAGCTGCCATAATGAAGTGAAGCAAAATCATCACTCGTCGCTTACATCATTCTCAGCACAGATGACTCTAGGTCGAGCATGATATTTGTTCAGCAGCGATTGCTCAAAATCTGCGTTCCGTTCAAGTTAAAAGATAAAATGAATTTAGAGGAGATCAGTAAGTAGTATTTGGTCAAAAATTGAAGAATTGATTGAAAATCCTCGAGAAAGTATCTAGACGTCGTACGTGGAATTCTGTCAAGGTTACAACCACTAGAACACTGAGACACTCTGGTACAAATAAACCATACATGAGACTGTCTGAGTGAAGTTTACTCCTCCCTCGTGTTATCCATTCATATTAATCAACTAATTAATTGATATAAATATTCTGCAGTATAAATAGGTTGGAATGCATCTGTCAGCCACGTTTCGTAAACCGTTAATGCCCAGCTCTTGCTACGCTGGGCCTCACGTTGTTCCTCGAAGCTTCTCAGAAACGCTTAGTAATAACGGACGCAAAAACCAACACACCAATTGGCGACTCGAGGATACTTTATTGTAACACCAACATATAAACACTGTTACAACTAAGGTCTGTGTACAAATATTACAATAATAAATCACAATATTACTTCTGATGGTTGTCTCCTGACTTCTTTCTGAACAGCGACCGATGAGACGATGACTGTCGTATTGATGCCTCCGCGAAAATCGGGGAAGTTGGTTTTGAGCAAACAACCATGAATTGATCGTTCAATCTTCCACTACATTGACAGCATCTGTTAGGAATGCCATCACTTACTGACTGACTGACTGACTGACCTACTTGAATGAAAATACTGTACTGAAAATATCCAATATGCATTCAATGGGCGTCTAATCGGTGAAGTTACTGGTATTGCAATTGGAACCCTTTTTATAGATGAATTCTTGTCAGACCTTCAAGCCGGTGATTTGCAACAGTATATATAACAACAAACGGAGTGTGTCGGTGATGCTTTTATCGTCTGTGGCAGCAAGTCAGAAGTTGAGAACTTATTGATAAAAATCAAATTATGCTATCCAAATATTGACTTCTCAACAGAGCATGAAGAATATGCCACCATTAAATTTCTGGATGTTGCCCTAATGACAAGAAGGTCTTATGGTTGGATGGGAAAACATATGTCTTCACAGAAATGACAGTTTTCTTCGTATTGAATATGCGAAGAACTTAGCTACGACGCTGTTTAGTGCAGCACGCGAAATCTGTTCTAACAATACAACAGGAGGTGAAATAAAGACCGTCAACGATATTCTGTGTAAGAATAGATATCCTGTCAGGTTCATTGATAAATCCTGTAAAGAAAGAAATAAGCCCTCGTAAACCTCTCCAGCTAAACTATTTCAGAGGAATCTGTTTACATCAATTAGCCACGTAGGGGAGGTGGTCTACGAGAGGGAGTCTTACGAAGACTTGATTTAATAATAATTATGATTTACTTTATTCCAAAAAAAAACAGTACTTGTGATACAGAATGGAATTTTCGGGATTAACATAGTGTGGTGCAGAACTATTCTTCCCTTACACTGCTTAGTGGGTGCTTCAGCGATCTGGCGGAGGCCAGTGGTCAGTCACCGACGCATCAAAATGCACGTAATAATTTGAATGTGCCCGTGGAAGCGAATACGTCTGTCGTAGGGAAAGGTGATTTTCTACCTCGGTACTTTCGATTCCGGAGAAAGTTTTGCACGCATTTTCGCTTATATTCATTTTTCTGTTCTGCTACATTATCACCAATAATAATAATATATATTCTCATTTTCGTATATGAGGGACGCCAGTTTACAGGCATCACCCATTCGATAAATTACATATACGTTTAGTAAGCATATTTAATGAAGGCAGTATAACAAGGTATATATTTTTTCCTAGCTATGTAGGATACACCAATTGTATAGGCATGCATAAATATTGTATAAATTATATGATTTACGGTGGCTGCCGTTTTGTCTTTAGTTTGTGGGAAAAATCTGATAACCAGTGACTCAATAGACCACATCAGGAGATATAGGAATATTGACTTCGCATCAACAAAAAAACCCAAATATTCGTTGGATGGATTGCAGATACGTGGGAAAATAAATAAAGCTTGAAGTCAATTCCCTAATATAACAATGAAATGAAACTCACATTAATATTCTGTCTTTTAATGCACATTATAGCTGACAGGCATCATCAATATGGTAATAATGTAGACATGGAGTAAGCATGTTTAAAATCTCATCACTGACACAAGATATATATATGTATATATGGAAGGTAGGATAATGGAATAATGGTAGTAAACCCACTTTGCATAAGTTAAAGCAACTACTGTGATTTAATCCCAGGCACCATTATTGTTTTAATTTGTCGAAAATGCGCGTAACAACTGAGTGTTGCGTTACATTTGGTCAACATGGTGGGCTACTCACAAAAGGGTAAATACGGCTTACAAACGACAATTAGTGCACCGTAGACGAAGGTTTTAGTAAAATAATCTGCAAAAGGCTCACCAAAGCTGTTAATATATTTAAAGATTGAACGATCTTTTCATGGTCGTTTACTGAATCTCAACTTCAGAATGCTGATTGAAAACTATTGGAAGTAATATCGTGATTTATTGTTATAACATATGTTCTTAGACCTTCTATAATAACATTATTGTTGATTATATATTGGCGTTAGAATAAAGGATTCTTGAGTCGCCGATCTGAGTTTTGGTTCTTCGCATTGGTCAATATCAATCCGTTCTAAAAATCTTTGAGGGACAGCGTGAGGTCCAGCGTAGCTAGAGTGGGATATTGACAGTTTATGAGACTTGAGTGACAGATTCTGACAGTGTTTGGATAGTCACCGTTCGTCTTTCCCGGTGCTTTCCAGTCTTATTTAGACAAGTATTATCTGGAACGTTTCCGGAATTTCAGTCACGTTCACTAATGCCTGGGTCAAAGAAGGGACAAAGCGTCTTGGAAGCAAGCAGGAAAGTGAGTCGTGTTGGTCTATCTGTTACATGTAACGGTGTGTTTGATACTAAGCATGATATGGTTGATGTTACTCTTTCGCCGTCTAGGGATAACAGGAATATCAAACTCCCTAAATTTGAACCACGGTGTTTCAACGGAAACCCAGCTGATTATTTACAGTTTGTAAGGGAATTTGAAATCATGTTAAGCGTTATTTTATTAAATGATGAAATTAAGTTAATGTATTTGATGAGGTATTTCACTGGAGTTGCTTCAAGAGCTATACAGTGCTGTAAGTTCACGCTACCTAACGAAAGATATTCTGAGGCTATGAGTATACTGCGTCAAATATTCGGAAGAGCTTCGGTGATTGTAAGGAACGTATTCGGGGCTGTTAATGGTAATAGTAGTCAATTACAAGATGACTCCAAGGCACTCACTGAGTTTTTGGATAATCTGTTGACTTACAAGAATGCATTGATTCCGATGACTTGAATGAGTGATATGAACTCAAGTTCCGTTCTATGGGTAACAGCGAGACGCCTACCTACTCGACCGCAATGGAAGTGGGTGATGATAAGCTCTCTTATAGAGGATGAAGATATTGAGCCAAGGTTTGATGATATTCTGAGTCTGGTAAAAGACAGTGTTAAGCAGGCGATGGGCGAATTCGCCGGCATTTTCCATTCTAAAGTAGATCCTAAGGAACCGGTGAATATAAATAAAGCATTTGTAGTGAAGTCTCAACGCACTGCGAGATATGATGAGCGTATTGTTTGCCATAACATGCATCAATTGAGTGATTGCAATCGCTTCATTGCTATGTCTCCCGTAGAAAGGTTTAAAATGGTAAAACAGAAGCGGCTGTTTCAGTAGTTTAAAGACGAGGCATACCAAGTTGAATTGTAAGGCGACAAACAAAAAAGTAGTGGTTTAACCGGTATGCACCCACTTTTGAGGACAGCAAACGAACCAGGGAATTCGGTCAATTGTTATAGTATCTCTAGACCCCTTGACAACCCACAAGTTTATTTAGGGGTATTGCCAGTTAAGTTGAAAGACCGAAATCTTCGGTAGAGTCTTATGCATTGTTGGATAATGGTTTGGACGTTACATTGATAGATGGTAGGCTGGCTGGCTGCTTGGGTATTAAATGTCCAAAGCAATCCTTGGTTCTGGATACTTTCAATTCTTCGAAAACGGTAGTATGTGAACGAGTGTCATTTCACTGAGAATCCTTGACTACTGAGGAAACTTCCAGAATAATATCCGGTCAAGGGTCAAATTAATAAAAATTA